ACGGTAAAATGGACAAAGGGAAGGGAGTACAAAGTTCCTTTTTTTTCTGACTATGATCAGAAAAAAACAGACAGAATTAAATTAAAACAAAATAAGGGGGATTTGATTGGATAGGTAATTGACAGTTGATCAGTTGGTTGAAATTAATGGCACATTTTCCCTATTTTGGTTCATTTTCTGCTTTTTACTACAATGTATTTATTGATATTTATTTCAAAATGTAATGCTAGGTGCCTCCATTCTTTTTTTGGATTTATGATTAAGGCGACTACTCTTACAAATTGTTGGCTTGTGCACTTATAGTTGTATTAGAAATAAATATTTCTAATAATTTATGAACCTCCCTTTAAAAGTTAGATGAAATATTGTAAGAATCATATTCAATGCCTCCAAATTATATCGACACAAAAATTAAAATAACTTAAATTTTGGTCCAATTTTTCAAAGAAAGGACTATTAGAAAGTGTGCAGTTCAACTACCTAAATTAAGATAGATTTATGAATTGGTCTAACAAGTCCAATGGAGTTAGTTATGTGTTGTTAATGTGATGCATATATGAGAAATTAAGAGTCTAAAAGTCTAGCATGTTGTTATTGAGTGGGAACATTGTGTTACAAGGGATAGACTAATCACCAAAATAATCATTTTTTTAAAACGGTGATGACTAGGCTAGCTCGTGCATAGCTAGATTAATTTACTGAATATTTATTACTTCCAACCACTATAAGTATTAAGTAATTCTAACCATCACAACTTAAATTTATGAAACAATAAAATTACCTATAGTATTTAGTGTCTCTATTGGATTTGAATCTTTATTTTGCTAGATTCTTGTTTATTTTATTGATTGATATATCTTACCCCTCGAGGGCAAATTACAATTCGAATGATAGTATCACGAGAATCGATAGTTAGTTTTATATTTTCATATTTTTCATTTATTTATGTTAAGAATGACAAAAATAGCCAATGAAAATATGACTCACACAACTCGTTCAAGTATGTAGTTATTGACCTATGAAAAATTTTGTCGAAATATTGTTTGATATGTTATGAACTACATATAATAATTAAAGATTCCCCCGTGATTAACTAAATTATAAAATTAAAAAAATCAAAATAATAATAAGTTTGAATTATGACCTATTATTTAGCCATCTTGACTCAATTCATCTTAACATAACTAAGGTCGGGACACAGTTGGTCGATGTAATTTATTTGTTAAATTCACTTTAATCCATCCAAATTTAATCAAATCGTTCATTTACCACCTCTAAATTATGAAGAGGAAAAGAAAAGAAGGAACATTGGATTTTTTTTTTGGTTTTCCCCAATGTTCGATATCTACACTAGAGCCCGGGGGAGGTAAAACGCTCCTTAACAAAAGCAACTATGTACCTGAGGAGACTCGAACTCGAGATCTTTGATTCAGAATAAATAAGCATTTACAACTCTATCAAAATCCTTATCGGTAAACATTGAATTTATAGTTTGTCCTAGTCATGGGTGTAAAGTGTAGGATGGTAGGGTTGAACCTTAGTTGCAGGGCCAGGCTCTAGACCTACCCATAAATTATGGCTTGATTGACTGTACAGTACTCCACTAGAAATGTAGTGGGTGGGGGTACCAGTCCACAAAATATAAGACCTAGAGACACATGGCCACAATTACACATAAGTGGTTTAAACTAATTAACTGCCCCTCTTACTTTTTCTTTTTTTTCATCTTGTAAAAAAAATCAAAATTATTAAAAGTGATGATAGATGTTTGATTTTCTTGGATGTTTTTTTTTTTAGAAATAAACAATTTGATACATATTTATACAGGGTTTGAGAAGGATTGCACCCCTAGAGAATTATTACTAAAAGTGATGATAGATGTTTGATTTTCTTGGATGTTTTACAAAAATAAACAATTTGATATACGTTTATAGAGAATTTGGAAAGAATCGCACCCTTAAAGTACTCTCTAGCAGCAAAATTTGATTTTGTGTTCTCATAAAAAGTTTAACACGTCTTAAAATTATTTGCGAAGTCATGCTTATTTCTGTAATTTTATTTGTTCTAATAATAATCTTTGATTGAGTACACGGAGTAAGTGAATTTGTAACAAAATGTATCCAATTCAATAGAATTTATAAAGAGGTTCTTAGGTAATTTTTAAATGCATGTTTATTAGTTTAAATTCTGCTACTTTTTTCTGATTTTCAGATAAGCAATTCTTAAATGATTAACTTATTGTGATTACTATAACTAATATTACCCCTCCCCAAAAACCTTCTTGATGACTCGAAACACAATTTAAATTTGATTTTTTTTTACTTTTGTTAAAGAAAAATGGAGATATGTGAGGCATTTGTGTAACAATAGGGGTATAAATAAATCACTTTTATAACGAGGAATATATCATTTTCCCAATAAAAAAAGACCTTCTAAAATAAAATCATTACTACTTCGTTCTCATATTAGTTGACCACTTTCCTTTTTATGCACATATTAAAAAATAATAAATAGGAAGATAATTTTACTAATTCACCATTTAAAAAACTTCTTGGGACTTCACAAACAAATTTGAACACTATAAAAAAAATAAAAATTGCAAAGGTAGTTTAAGAAAATTTTAATGAATGCTTTCTTGATTTAGTAAGATGATCAACTAATATGGGACAACTATTTTAAATAAGATGATCAACTAATATGGAACGAAGGGAGTACATTAGAAGTTTGACTTCTATAATTCTATGGAAATTTCAATAAAGCCCTAAAGCTTTAAAAATAAAAGGGAGGGGGGGAAGGGGATCCCATTTAATAAACATGATTAATTAAGAAGTTTGGATTTCAAAATCCATAATCTTTGACTGATGAAAAGGAGGAATAATTAATCTTGCCCTAATCAAGATCCATTTTATTTCTATTAGACTAATAAGAAGAAGCACTTTCACATGATTTGATAGTAGAAGTTAATTAAGGAGTGATTAGGCCACATCTATTGGGATACACAGCAGAAAGGACACAATTACTTCACTTAAACTAACTTTATTGTCAACCTTTTTACTAATACTATTTGAAACGAGCAAATCCATTCACAAGAAAGAAAGAAAAAAACAACTAAAAAGAAAAAGCCAAAACAAAAGTACCAAAGAGTTTGACCAATCAATTCTCTTTCTTTCCCTTTTTTTTCTTCTTCTTGAGTTTAGTAATTAATTGCGTGATTAGCGGACAGGGAAATTGGCAAGTCCACTAAGTTTTTTAATTAGTTAAAAATTAAAATTTTGTCTTTGATGAAATTGAAAATGTTTGGTATAATTATTTGGACTAAAGAGTTTCTAAAGTCTTGTGGTGTTTTTATTAGACAAAAAAAATAATTCTAGAAGGGAGAGAGTCAATCTAGGAGATAATATCGGAAAAATTAGATTATTTTTATTTTCAAGTATTCATATGGTAAAAGTAATGTAGCAAATTGATTTTCCATTTATACTTGAATATATATATGAACTTATGAAGCATTAATCAAGTGTCTTATTACGCGTGCATTAATACGCAAATTAAAACTTTGGTTTATTTTATAATTTTTTTTACTTTGGGTAGGGGACACTACAGGGCTCTATGAGAATCAAGTCTTGCAGCTCTAGAATAATAATAGTCCGATCGAGCTACTAATTTAATTATTTTATTTTACACGTACAATAAGGTTTAAAAAAATTGTTTCTAATTATAGTAAGGTGACATTTTTTTTAAGACGGACTAAAAAGGAAATGATGCCACACAAAATGAGACGAAGAGAGTGAGATTTTAGTTTAAGTTTTCTAATTCTATTTAATTCAACTAAAGTTAAAAATATTTTATTTTACACGTACAATAATGGAGGATTGGGTGAGGCAAGTTGCATAGCAAGAATGTCTTTTTCACTATTTAAGAGCATGTGCAGGTCGTCTTATTGAACAGAAAACTCACATGCAAGGTCACCATTAGAGGTTCACATTTCCTTAACTCAAATGCAAACTATCATATCCATACAAACGCGACCGTCTCGATAAATTTGGAGGCCTGAAGTCAAACTTCACAGAGAGATTTTGTTTTTTTAATTATCATATATAAATTGAATTATTATAACATACAATAATTAATGTTATTGGTTGCCTTCAAGGCTTCAACTAATGTTCACTTGTATCTGTCTATTTCAACACTATTAAGCTAGAAACCGTGTCTTGTTTTCTTGATTAATTGGATTAATGTTATAATCATATCATATCCTTCATGAATAATTAATCGTTAAATGTCTAATCTTATAGCATTGCTAATTATTTTTATACAATTATGAGTTATTAATGTCTTGCATTGTTCTTAAATTATTGAATCTTACTGTGTACCATATCTATCGACAGGGCGAGGAGAAAACAACTTATTGGGAATAGCGCTCCAAACCAAAGTTGCCTTCCATCTCACATGTAGAAATTAGTTGACATCCATACCTATTCATGATGGGTGGAGCCAGCAGGGTCGAGTTCGTGGGTTCGACGAACTTAGTAGATGTATTTCTATTAGAAAATTAAATAAATATATATGTATATTAACTTGTGAATTCCCTAACAAAATTGATTGACAGCTCAGTAAGAAAGGGATTGTGGAAATGTTTTCCGCACTAGTGCTATGCCAGGGCATCATTAGCATAAGGAGTTCATCCAAACCTCTTCGTTGAAAAATTACTATATATAATAAAGTCAAATTATATGTAGCAGATGTTGAATCCCCTTTTTTTTTTTCCGTTCATTACCTTTTTATATTTTGAAACAATCCTGACTCTTCATCCGATGATATCAAATAGGAATGATCATTACAAAGAAACATAAATTTGCATAATCAAATGGATTTGAATGTAAAAATGGAACTCTTTGCCAATTTGCCTGCTTTTCTTCAACTTTTCAGCTCTCCTCCTTTTCTTTATTAGGCAATTTTCATTTGCTTATTCAGCTAAGTGAAAGTGTTGCTTCTCATTAATGTATGAAAATTTTGGAACATCAAGGATGTTATTTTAACCATTGATATGAAAAAGAAACATACAACTTTCAATTAGGTAAATAAACATCTGATTTATTCAATTAGGATAAACATATTTCGTCTAATTCTACCTTCACAAGGTAGTAATAAGGTTGCGTAAAAGGAGTATATTGTTATTCAAGAATCTACTTCATGATATTGAGATAAGGGTTACGAAAGATAAATAAGAGCGCCAAGATATTAGGTAAAATAGCTAGAAGAAAAATGTTTCCTTCTTTGCTAAAGATTCTCCTTTTAAACCTTTTCCTCACAAACTGTCTCCTTTCTTCATCTCCCCATTTAGCTTCCTCCACTCCCTTTGCCAGTATCAATGGAGGGGGTTGTTGATATGGGCATTTGGATCTCCAAGAAGTTTCAGGTGCACCAAATCTTGAAATCCATTTCAGGTAAAATGAGAAAGCCCATTTCAGATATACAGAAGGGGAGGTGATTTTGGTGCACAGAATTGGGGGATAGTCCCAATTGAGGTAACAGGGGATTTGGTTAGAAATGAAGATTTGGGATTCAAAAGATGGTTTAGTTGTGGGATTAAGTATGATGTGTGTTAATGCTTGGATTCTTTGTTTCCATGTTGTGTCTTCCATTTTTTTTCTGTTATCTTGTTTTAGCATAGTGTTATCCTTAGGTTGGATGAGAATAAAAAAATGTGGATGTGGGAGAAAGAGCAAGTGGTGTTTTTTGGAATAATGTCAGTTTGACCCTTATAGGTTATGAATATTGCAAAGTTGACCCTCCAGAGTATTGAATGTATAAATTTTGGATTGGCTTCTTGTAATATCAAGAAAATAAAGAAGAAAAACCATTGAATTATGGTAAAAATGTATCTGCATTGAGTATTTACACTATACCAATATACATGCACGTAGAAAAGGCAGAAACATACAATTGTAGCTCATATGTTGGAATCAACATTTCATTAGCATTATCATGCAATCTTGTTAGGAAGAGCATATGAAAATCAGTAGTTACATTCACGGAACCTGGTATATAGCCTTAGTTGCTGACGATTAAAGCCATTGTACTTCTCCACATCCATAGATTAACTATTACCAAGACTAATCATAAGGTGAAATGGAATTTCTAGAGGTGATTATATACAAAATTCTACAAGAGATCAACAATTTCACATGGTGATGATTTGTTTCTTTTCATGCATATTTTCGCTGCCGTGTGCTAATGATTTGGTAAATCAATAGTTGCTCCGCGGGCCTAGCTTAAGTGTGAGAAGAGAAACATGAATGCACTTAAAACTGGAAACACGATCAGAGCTGAGGCCTGCGACAAAACAGATTTCCATAAACGAGGACAGAAGTTAGAGAATTATACATTGACATGCAAAGAGAAATAGAATTCACAAACTCGGCAGCATCTAGATTCTTACTACTAAGAACACTACTTCTTCATTAGCTAAAGCCGTAGGGAATTCATTCCTTTCTATTTCCTGCTTTACAAACCTCTGCAGCTGCATAGTACGTAAGTTGTCAGATCAATGTTCTGAGGATGTACAACCAAATAACAACTTAATAATCAGGGTGAAGTTTCCCATTTTCCAGTTGCTAACTTGAATATCATATCAATGTGTGTGTGTGGTGGGTGGGAGGAGCACGCACACACGTGTATTGTAAAAAATCAGTATTACATTAATAATAAACCAAGTAGCGAAGGTGATAACTACACAAAAGTGGTACCTCCATGTACACTAAGCTCCGGAAAGTCTAGGTCATCTATACAAGTATGTATATCCATCTTACCCCAAAAGTACAGAACAATTTAAAGATTGTAGTGGACCCTACTTCAAACATACTCCAGTTACCAACTTAAATGTCAAACACAAATACTTATCCTGATATTACTCATTCAAGCGATTAACCAACACAAGACCACTAATTAATCCCCACCCTCCTAATTAAGGAAATTTGAGTACCTTGTAATGGTATTGTTTTGCAGATGAAAAAGCCCCCCGCAAGTGATGCAATGCTTGAGCCCAGTAGGAATTAGGATCAGCCTCACTGTATGATCCATATGGATGCAAAATTCCTTTCAACGTTTCGAGGTGGTGTCCGAAAATGTTTTTGATGAACTGGAGACACAAGAGTGTTAGTTCTCTTCAAAGATAATATCAAGAGTAATCATGGCCATCTGTATATACGATGTTCCAAAGGAGTTGGCAAGCTAGGAAAATTCTATGACTTCCAGTACCTTGACAAATGGACATTTACTGAACGTTACTTGCCTTTTGACCTTTTGTGTTCTCATCTGACATATAACATTCTGATTTAGCTTTGGCTGCAACTTTATTATAGTTTTAATGGTAAATTCAAGCCAAGGTGTAAACTAGAGGATACCTCTGCCATTTGAACAGCTTGTTCAAGTCGTTGTATCTGAATCCATTTTTCAGATATAACTTCAGCCATCTGTCAACCAAGTTAAAAGTTCATCAATGAAAGATTGCGGAAATCATAATACTCAAATGGATATTTTTTCCCTCATCTCTTGCCTAAAAATAAATGAATAGGTCATTACCTTTTCATTTGTTCAGAAGAAAAAGTGAACAAAAACCTTTCAAGAGGACAAAGGTATACTGTGCTCTTCTACCATTTCTTTTCTTTGAATGCTATAAATTTCCTTTATAATGATATAGTGTATATTGATAGTCACAACAATACCAATTTTCCAAAACCAAGAAAGACGTTTTTAATTGTTGATCAAAATGGAGAAAGACATTATTGCTGTTGACATCTTGTTATCCATTAAGTCCTATTTCTGTTTCCTATGTATGAAATAAGATCACTTGTTCGCCCAAGAGCTTAGCTCAAGTGGAAAGAGCGGAACGCGCGATGTGTGAGTTAGGCGCGCATCATAGGTTTGAACCGTGCCCCTGACAGAAATCTAGTACTTGTGTGGCAAAGAGTAGAGGGGAAGGCCCATCATCCACCGAGTTTCAAACTGTGCTTCATGAGTCTTCAGAGATTTCTAGGTTATAATAATAAAAAGAAGATGATTTCTTCAACTGAAGAGAAATCTTAAGCGTCGTGTTACCTAGTATACAATAAAGATGCTTCAAAACACTTCTACAGAAATCTCATTCTCAGGATGATGAAAGAATACTCAACATTTTAAAATAATTTACTTTCTTCCACTTGACCAGCACTAGACAAATATTAATTACTGAAATTGTTTACTCATGGCTTTAGCAAACCTACCTTTTCGACTTGAGAGGTAAGAACTTCTAATCTATTCTCCGCATCTTGCGCTTTGAACTCCAATTTATGAATTTCAAAGTTGTTTTTTCTTGCCGCATCCCAAAGCAGTTGTACCTACTCAATTCCTTCATTTTTATAAGATGAGAAACTGTATGGAGAAAAAAATCTGTGATAACGTGACAATCATACCTCTTCTTCTAGAGCACTAATCCTTGATGAGTGATGCTGAAGAAAAGAGAAAAAGATACATTTATGAGGAATGGATGTGTATCATTTATTTCCATTTTCTCTTCTTGAAACGAATTTCACTTATAGGTTGTTGTATCAATTATAGACGCTCTAGTAATATTTAGCACAATTCCCATGAAGGCATTCCCATTTACCTACTTAAGGCCAGACAATATTAGGTCACCAAATGAAAGATCAAAGCAAGAAATTAGAATCATTACAACTGCAAAGCTGTTTTTGGAATCATATTCAATAAAATGACAGAGAATTGATGACCACCTCTTTTATGTACGAACATGTGAATCAATAATGGACCAGAGGTTCACAAACTGATAAGCAACAACAAAGCTACACAACCTTAATAGTCCCAGAACTTTCCATTTTTAGTAACCAAATTATCAGAATCACACAAGGAAATTAGGGCAATACTGTTTAGGTTATTAGCACAACATTTCAAAATATGTCTGGCATTATTAAGTTGATAAAAGGGAGATTATCTAACGTTTTTTTTATAGCTATTTCAAGGCATTGGTGCTCTTTTCAATGAACATCTTCCCTTAAAAATAGAAAATATTCTGCCAACCTAACCAAATGAAACAAAACATTTGGAGGAGTAGGTTGGAGGTATAACTTTTCTTGTGGTATGCCATATCTGCTTCCCATACCAAGTTTATTGAAATACTTAAGACCTTAGACCACAAGGTCCTGGTCAATCCCTTCCATTACTGTCACTAAATGTCAACCCATTATACCTCAAGTCCTCAACAAATTTAGATCCTACTCATAATAACACAAGATCTAAGTCAGATATTAGCAGACATGAGAAACTGGAAACTAGCCGAAAACCAACCTGCAATTCGGACAAAGCGGTTGTAAGATTGTCAATTTCTACACTAATGTCCTCGATTTTCTTCTCGGTTTCTCTGATATATTGGATTTTAGCATTTAAATTTGGCATGCTTTCATCAAGGATGGATTCTGCAATTAGACGCACCAATGTTAAAAGTATACAGGACCTTGTAGAATAATAAATAGCGGGCAAGTATACTTCTCATGAAAAATGCCACTGAATGGATATCTTTATCTAATGCATGAGAAGACCTAGAACTGCACGGTATAAAACTCATTGTATTGATATCACAGAATTCTGAAAGAACACATGTATTAAAAAGTGGATAGATACAATCATCAGAACACAAGCATAATTCGAACACGGGCCCTTCATTCATGCTGGAAGCTCCATTAGGGACACAAAATAAAAAAAATATAGAAATCTGACTTTGCAATGCAATGCAAATTTAATAGGAAAGGAAAAAGAAATGAAATACTAACATTTTTCAATGCACATGTTCAATACGATATCTCAATAAGGCTTCTTAGCATGCCAGAAAATTTTAAGGTAACAGGACATAAAAAAATTCCCTTGTTCAATTGAGATATGACTAATATCAAGTTATTCAAGCTTTATACATGTTACTTCATGCTGGTCTCTTATGTATTATGTATAGTGACAAGCTTATAATCACATATTCCAATCATACAAGATAACCCAGTCAAATCTTTCCCTACTGATCAATAGTTAAAAATAAGGAGGGGATAAAAGAGCCTGTCTATGAAATGAAGCACTAATATCAACCAGTTTTTAATGAAAAATTTACTGAAATCCTCATAATCCATGAGCAGAAATATGATTTTGGGCTATCCCTTCTTCTAACAATAAACATATGCATAGTAGTCACTTCAATCAAAAAATTAGTAATAGCTATAGTCAGATTCCATTCTAAAGATACATTTTTTTGCCCTTCTACAGCTGCTCGCAGTTAAAACTGTCCTTTCCAAGTTATCTTTCTCAATATCATATACAATTCCAGTTCCTACAATACCGGCAATAACCACACGACTTCGTTCAAATCCAAATTCACTTCTCTCACTCTATCTATGCCTACAATTTCATGAAAATGCAGTTCTTTTAAGAACGTGTGTTCGAGTAATTACAAGTAAATGCAATTTACTTGTATTTCTATGCACTTAAATAAACCGCAAGAAATGTAAGCATTGACCATTGAGCTATATCAAGTTCGAAAATCTCAATGGCGAAAACGATGACTGATGAGGAGAGGAATAAGGAAATAACCTAATCGAGCGATTTTGATCTTCGCTTCTTGCAATTCGTAGATCACCGAATTCTGATTCTGCTGACCAGACGACGGCGGAATCTGAGATTCGACCGGAGGTACAAGAGCCACCGTCGAAGTTATGAGAGCAGTAAATGTGGCGGCGAACAAAATTATGAAGATTGTCATCTCCATTTTCGTTTTTCCTACTGAATGCTGAAGAGCTGCTGCTAA